GCAAGCTTAGCACATCGTGTGAATGCAGTCAAGATGGTTTTATCTAACCTGGTTGAGCATGTGTGTGTCTGTGCATGTGTATCTGTGCATGTGAGGAAGTCTGGAACCACAGATGGTGCTAAACCATGATTTGCAGCCATGGCTTCCTGCAGCCATGAGTCCTAAATTACTTTAAGCTGCAAACTCTGGTTTACAAACCAGAATGAACAGATTCCCAGGACACACAAATGCCAGAGTCAAAATACTACGTTATGGCTTAGTCCAATGCATGAACCCAGCCTGTCTGAATGGCTTAGGATGAATTTGTACTAGAAGCATTGGCTATCTATGTGCCCTTTGACTGTCATAACATCCCTCAACAAATCCTGAAATTTATAGTTTGTTGATGGTGCTGTTACTTGGTCAGCCTCCTCCTTTCAAAACTACAATTCCCAGCATTTAGTGACTGAAGAAAAGAGAGTCTAAGTCTCTGATCTGCTTTGCTAATGAATGTCAGAGTCCCTCTACTGTTGGTGAGTAAATCCAAGTTTTTGGTTTTTTTTTTTAAAACCCAATGTGTTGTGATAGGACCTCATGCCTTCTCCAGAGCATAACCCCTTCTTTAACAAGAAGGAAGGATGTGACTTTGGAACAACTGAAGTGGGAACTCATCTGCCTCTGTTTTTCATCAGGATACACATGTTTGGGGGTCTAGACGGGGGTGGAACTTTTTGTTTTCTGCATGCTAAAGGATGGTTTGCCATCTCCTTGCCAACAGATCAGGCTTCTGGAGTACCAATATTGCAGCCAACAAGGGAAGCATGAAAGAGACCAAATCATTCTGGGCAAAAAATGTGGAGAGTTGCTTTGCCATCACTGTTAATGGAGGCAGCAAACCAGGATCCCACAGCATGCCCTCAAGGTGAGTCCCTCCCCAGCGCTAAGCCCTGAAGACTGGTTAATCGTGTTATAAATTTCAGTGGCATTGAAAGAGAGCGTGGGGGATGAGAATCATCAGTGAGGATCATTTCATGTGCTTTGCCACAGAATTTTAAAAGAAGTCTGGATGTGGGAAGAATTCAGAGATTGAAAAAAAGAGGGTGAAAAATGTGGGGATGCTTGGAGAAAAAGGAACTTGCAGGAGGTGGCAACTGAAAGGAGAAAAGGAATCAGACAGTAATTTGAGGTGGAGAGGGGAGACAGTGGCCAGTGGTTAAAATTGCTAAAAAGGGAAGACTTGGGGGCTCCCTGTCACCCACAATGTCTCAGAAGCCCCCTCCCCCAATTCCCAAATGTTGTGGGAAGAGAGCTTGAAGAATTCACAAATACAGAAAGAGTCTGCACACATACCGAAACACTCTTTTCATCAATTATTTCTTCACACCCACTCCTCGGTTAGTGACTACCTTGTTTACTGACCATTTGCAAATAACGGACAGTAATAAAAAAAATCATTTTATGACCAATGTGCACATTTACAACCAAATTTCAAGCACCTGAGAATGATGTGCAGCGGACTAAGAGTAATGTTGGCATATGAGAGAATTTTATCTGAATGAGATAGCAGCAACCAGCGATCTTCGCAGTCTCTCTCTTTCTCTCTCCTTCTCCCTTAGTCATGTGTTGACTTAGCAATCATTTTCCTTAACGACCTGGTCGTTGGAACGAACTCAGTCGCTAAACAAGAAGTGGGTGTATTTCTCTTTGAAATGTGAAACGCCCCCCCTCCCTCCTATCTTCAGTAGGAAGAAGGATGGGCCAAGACAGCTCTGAACAGAAAATTGATTCTTTGCATAGAAGAGAAAGGGAAAAATAGTAGCTGTTGTGAAACAGAAATTCAGGCTCTTAAGGGGCTTTGGGGAAAAGGGAACAATGCTGGTGGCACGAAGACCTGGACGAAGGACCTTGGATGTCCCTTCCTAAGCCATCTCCTCTCTTGTTTTCAAAAGCCAAGCTGCTCGATCTCTCCCCCATATAGAATGAAGTGGTGGGGGGTGGCATTCTGGGCAATGTACAACGTATGATGCTATTTCTCTTGCACTAGCACAGGTAGCCAACATCCCATAATTTAAGGACCATTGTCGGTAGGGGACAGATGGCTGCTACTGAACCCATATTGTTCAGGTTGGTTTTCCCAAACCCACTACTCACTTTCACCTGGTAGACAAGATGCAACCCTCAAACCTTGTGTGCAAGTAGCCAGAAATGTAGGAATGTGGCAGACATCTGAAATAGTTTGCAGAGGGGGCGTATGAGAGAATGAAGGTTAGTCAGAAAGTCCTTTGAGAAACATTGATTGAACATGGAATATAACTGCAGGGCTGTTTTATATGGAAGAGGAAGTGATGGGTGAACATAACTGGAATGAGAAAGGACCAAGCTCCAGGCTTCCTTCCATCACAATCAGTTCTTCTTCTGAGATCTTCTGGCTCAGCTCCAGAGGTCCCCCAGGCATGAAAACACAGGTCTTGTTTTCACTGCCTCTTCTGACAAAATGATCTTCTCATTAGGACGCCTTTTCACACCTCCTCTGAGATGCTTTGTCTGAAACGTGCCTGAGTCACACGATACACTGAACCCTAAATGCAGCTGAGCCAGACACAATAACTGTGCCTCCATAACACGCTCTGTCCAAAGGAGTAAACTATAGGAAGGATGGATTCATTAAGCAGAATAAGACAGTGGCTGGGTTCCCACAATATGTGGAACCCAAGCTCCCCACCCCCCATCTTAACTCAGCATATTATATTGCGTGAACCCAATCAATATATTCTGCATGTACTTGAGAGGGAGAGGAGAGCATTGCAAAGAGGCGGCATGAAAGAAGCACGTCTTTTTCTGCAAATGTAAGAACAGGAAATGAAGAGATGTTAGTAAGGCAATCTAAGTTTGAGTGAGTGCAAAGCATATGTGTGAATATGTCTGTGTGCAGGAGGGAAAGGAGGCCAAGAGAAAAACTGGAGGAATGCCTTGGAATCTGATATTTATGACTTCAATACAGCCTGACCCATTTAGTCTGTGGACTAACACAGAGATCAAAACGAAGGTCTTGGTTACAAGAAAAATGGAAAGAAGAAATAGCACCACAGTGCATGCTTTGGATAATATCTTTAAAATGCAGTTTATGAGCATTAAATATGTATTAAAATATCTATTTAATGACAGTTATAGTACAGGTTTTTAAAATTGCAGATTAATATGGAAATGCGGTGGAATCAATTTATAAGCAAACCAAGAGCGGGTCACAAATTGGAAGCGGAAGATTTATCTATCCGTAGTAGAAACTACAACAATTATTGCATGCCACATACTACTAATAAATATCTAATATTTATATTAGTACTTTAGAATGTGTAAGCACTCTGCATAATATTATCGTAGCACAACCGTAACAGCAACTATTGCCACAAACCATAAGGATGATCGCAATTTTGCCCAAATCACAGATGGGATGGGAAACCCAGATGGGAAACTGGCCAAGTCTAGCTAGTTAATTCCCAGGGGAGTAAGATGAGATTTGAACTAGCTGACTACCCACATTTAGACACTACTCTTGATTGCAAAGACAAGGGAAAGAGAACATCTCAGGGTATATATATGAAACAGAAGTGTGAATTCTTATGTATGAGTAACGCCCATGGACAATCCCAATGAAACTCTTACGTTGCAATTTCATAGTGAGCATAAATTAAACATAGCTTCTTCTGAACCTCCCAGAGTTTCAACCCAAGAAAGCATTCTTTGTTCCTCTGTCATATGCCCAGAACTGAATGGGTAGCAGAGACACCACAAGACATTCCAGTACCATCATAAAAATTTCAGCAAGCAACCTCTTGAAATTGGATGTTCAAGCTATTTCCACTGAGTTTCCAGAACTTTCTGCTGGTCTGCTGGGTGTCAGGATTAGGAGTGTTTTGTCTTCCCACTCTCTTCTCCTTTAGTGGAACTTCAAATCTGACTCTTTTGCCCTTCCTGGGGAATGGGTCATCTCAAAGGATGGGACAGGGCCCACCCAGCCTGCTTCCGCCATTCCCTTCCTCCTCAGCCACACTTACCAGGTCTTTGGGGAGCTGGGCAATCACGGCAAAGGTCGAGAGCTGTTTGCACTGGCACTTGGTGTGAGATGAGAGGGTTTCCACCGTCTGGCAGTTTTCAGTGTCCCAGTTCCCAGCGCCAGTCTCTCTGATTGACGGCCCAGGGCGAAGGAGAAAGGGGGAGAGAAAGGGACAATCTGAGCAATCAAACACATGGCACGGAGTCCACATCTCTCCTGCTTGTGGCCTGCTTTTAACCCTTTGCCAGTGCCCTCCTAAAGATGTGTCACCTTGTGCCAACTCCAGCAGGCTGGTTGCAAACAGGTGGCAGACCCTGGAGTTTAGATGGAGCTGCCTCCTTAATCTCCTGACCCAGTGGTTGGGATGAAAAGTCTTCCCTCCCCCCTCCTCACCCTCAGGCAGCCTGTTCCTCCTCCTGCTCCTGGCATTGCTGCAGATCATCTCCTTGAGGGAGGAAAATTGGAAGGGGAGGGAAGTTGTGTTGCACTGCAGTCAAGATTGACTCAACTGGAAGGCTGATGACGCAGGGGTTGGGGAGACATTGGACCGAAGAGTCGGGATTGAAAGATCATCGGCCAGGGTGTGCAGTGCTTATAGCCTGGCAAGATCTTCATCTCTGAGCTCTGAAGCTCAGCAGCGGTGGGTTTTGCTAGAACTTGGATGGGAGACCACCAGTAAACCCCAGGGTTGAGGCTGGACTGGAAAGTGGAAAAACATCCAGCAAGAATGCAATGGCAACCCACTTCCATATTGCTGCCAGGATAACTACTTGATGTGGCATCACCAAGAGGTGAGCTCAACCCAAAGGAAACTTGACTTGAATGATACGTCTTGTTCAATACAGAGTCAGGTTTCCTGGTGGTATTAAGTCTGGCAAGTTCACCTGGTATAGAAAAGTACGTTAGTGCGAATATTTTATTTTAAGATTCAGTTTGAAGGGGATCTGAATAACTTGACTTGATTGGATGCATTGATTGGATGGTCATTTACACGTGCATAAATGCTCTTTTTCTGATTCAGCTTGAAAATCCACACTGAATAGAATTATTTTCCGAACTGATCTGAAAATTTTGAATGGAATCAAGGCCACTTTACACATTCCTACACCAACATACTTTCATGGAATGAGAAAAGACTGACAGAAACCTCCAGACCTACATTAACCCAGAACTAAGCAAGACATACTAAGACTCAAACCCGGGGCTTCCTTTTTTATGACCTACAGGCTCTACTAATCTCTTTGATGAGATAATTTTGAAAATAATCATTTTTTTTCAATGCAAAAGTGCATTTTTGTGAATAGTAGGTAACCACAACCATATCAGTTGTATGGTTTCTCCATTTATTTTAACCCAGATGCTTTCCCTATACACACATGCATAGATATATAGATACATTCCCGTGAATTCTTACCCCCAACTTTCAGTGGGACGTAGATTTTAGTCAATTTTGACTGAAAAAGTGCAGAGATACGTGCATAAGAACTTCTCATGTGCTTAAGAGACTGAGCATATGTTCATGTGGATAGGCCTATAATCCCATTTTTAACATTTCTGTGTGTTCTGCTGGATTAGCTGTATGTATTCTCTGACCCAAACTGGTGTATGCAGAAGGAACTGGAACAGGGCCATAGTGTCACATTGGCTCAAAGAAATAGAGGGGTGAAAATTGCATGTGTAAAGGCCTCTTAATCAACCTCAGCTTGAAATGTATGTTGCACCACTCCTAAAAGCTCAAGCTGGAAGCTGTGATAGAAACAGAGGCAACATAGGCACAGAGAAAGAAATAGAAAATACTGGCAAGCGGAGAGGTTTACTCCTGGGATTTCTAATTGCACATTAGGAGAAAAAAAATACAGGGGCAAAATACTTCAAAAGATTGAGGATTGAGTATATTTTCTAATCACCAAATGGTGACTGTCAGTTTAGAAAAGAGAAGGAGGAAATGAGAAAGTGATAGAAGATAGAAGGAAGTATCTTATAAAGGGCATGGCTGATTGGCAGGAACACAGAGCAGAAGACATAACTGTTACAGGGAGAGGAGAAAATGCAATATTTTATGGGATATTCGTCTACTCCAAGTTGGAAGTTTGTAGTCTCCTTTTTGAAGCTCTCAGGAGGTTCCATTCCAGAATTAAGTGCAGTCAGCTCTGAACACATCTGCAGATACCCTGAAGTGCTCATAAGCTGTGTGCTGAAGTCATGAATACATCTTTCTTTCCCCCATGTTTGAAGCTAGGACAGTATTTTTTTTCTCCATTCATCTGATACTAACCCAACTGTCCAGGATTTATCACATAAAACAGTATAAAAGGTTTGGCCAGACCACCAGCTAGTTCCTTCAGCAGCTCCCCCATCCCCCCTTTTTTTTTGGTGCCTTCAAGCCAGTTTTTTACTCCTGGGGACTGCCTGGACTAGTCCCTGCAGTTTTCTTGGCAAGGTCTTCCGGAAGTGGTTTGCCATTGCCTTCTTCCTAGGGCTGACAGAGAAGGACAGGCCCAAGGTCATCCAGCTGGCTTTGTGCCCAAGGCAGGACTACAACTCACAGTGTCCCAGTTTCTAGCCTGGAGCCTTCACCACTAGACCAAACTGGCTCTCAGCAGCCTAGGACACAATTTATCTGGCTCTGGAGATTTACGCACATTCCTACTGAAGAGATATTTCCACGACCATGTTCCTATTCTTCTCATCCTTCAGTCATAACCCTTCATCTTGCCCTTCACAAGTTCCTGATGGAACACATGGATTCCCCCCCCCCCTTTCTGGAGAAGAGTGAACCAAAATGGGAGCGGAGTAGCTGTTTTTCCTTTCTTCCTTTTACATTTTGCCATTGACACTGAGCAGCTAATATACTGGGCTTTTTTCCTTTTCCTTTTATTCTGAATCAATCTAAAGAAGCCCTTCCTGTTATTTTTAGCTTTCTTTGTTAACCTCAGCTCACCCTGAGCTTCCACTTTTCTGACACCAGCTCTACAGTTCTGGGCTACCAATCTGAACTTTTTCTTTGTGTCCTGACCTTCTTTCGATTCCCTCTGTGTGAGTTTAAAAAAAAAAAAAAAAAGATTTCACTAAGTATTTTTGTGTAGCCACACTGGCTTCTGCTGTCATTCACTTCCCCCCCGCCCCATTGGTCTTGTGCAATTGTGGCTTTAATACCACTTCCTTTAGGAATTCCCACCTATCTTGAGCTCCTTTTCCATTAACGTCTCCTGTTATTAGGCCCAACGTATCATCGCTCTATTATTCCACTAATTTGGAAGTCCAAGATATGTGCTTGAGATCACACAGTTGTACTTTCCCTTAAAATCAAGAACTTCAACGTGGAAGGTCACTTTTCTGCTACTTCTACTTCCACCTCTAAGTCTTCCCTAATGATGAGTATCAAATCTAGGGCAGCTGATCCTCTTGCATTTTCCCCCACCCCCAGAAAGAGAAAGTGGTCGGAAGGATAAGTCAGGACCACGCATGGCAGAGTTTGTCTCCCAACAGATGTCAGGGTAATTGATGTCTCCCATTACAATGGTTTCATGCCTTTTTGAAAAATCTGCAATTTGCTTTTGGAAGACATTGTCTACATCTTATCCTTGGCCGGGCAGCTAATAGAAGATAATACCGACCATATCAGTTTTATTGTTTCTCTATTTATTTTAACCCAGATGCTCTCCATATGCACACATACATATATAGATATATACACGCACACACACAATACACTTTTTTTTCTATGGCTTCTTTTCCTTTGAACAAATTGCACTCTTTAATTGCTATATTCTAATTATGGGAGTCATCCCACCAGGTCTCTGTTAAAGCTATTGTTATATTACCCTTCCTCACTAAGAATTGAAATTCATCTTCTTTATTTCTCGTACTCTAAGCATTGAGTAAGTACAATCAAGGCTGCTGATGGATTGAATGTTATTTATGGTCAGAGACCAAATAACAATAACAATGCAAATTTGCATGTGCCAAACGAAGAACAAGCAAAAAGATAAAGGAAAGGATAGAAAAATAAAATAAAATTCAATATATAACATTGTGTTGAAATATAAACTGTAGATAGCTGGTCAAGAAATATGGCTAAGTTCAGATTTTTTTTAAAAAAATACCCAAGTCTTTTCTCTGTGTGTGTGTGTATGTGTGTGTGTGTGTGCTCAGTCACTCTTGACTCCTGGCAAATGCCTGGACAAGTCCCTGCAGTTTTCTTGGAAAGATTTCAGAAGTGGTTTGCCATTGCCTCCTTCCTAGGGCTGAGAGAGGGTGACTGGCCCAAGTTCACCCAGCTGGCTTTGCGCCCAAGGCAGGACTAGAACTCCTGGTCAACCAGTTTCTAACCTGGAACCTTTTACCACCTCCAACCTGGTTCTCATATATGGCATAGGAAGGGATATGTCAGTCAAGAGGAACTGAGTTTTCTCCTCGTAAGACCAGCCCTAATAGTTTAACAGTGAAAGAGCTATCAAATATCCACACAGCCCTGTACCGAGAGAGGACAGGACAGTAAAACATAGCTAACAGACTCCATCTGCCCTATATCTGCCCCCTATTAGCCTAGAAAGGAAGAAGTTACATCTTGTCAGGGTTGTACAAATGCAGAAAGTTGGTGGTTCCCTTGAACAAATGATCCATCAGCAGAGATTCCTCCATAATCTGGTGGTATACCACTAGGGTCCCTATGAAAGACAATGTCAAAAATGTACTATTTCAATTCTGTGTTAGCTTCCTCAGGCCCTAGAGAGATTACTTACCATGCTGAGAAGCCATACTGCCTGAAGTCAAGATCAATGTCCTTTTGCCAGGTGGAATAACACTTATTCAAGACGGTCAAAGAAACTAAAGATCCTGCTCTGAAAATTAATTTAATTCAGAATCTGAGGTGAAAGACATCCCCTGAGACAAATCCAACTTCCAGAGGTAATGAAGATTTAGAGATGTTCCAAGGTACTTGGAGAATAAATCTTAGGAATTTGGATTGGGCTGTTTCTATAGGTCTTGGAACCTGATTGGGACAAATCCAGCAGAAGCAAGATCACTTAGGGCTCTACAGATGTTAACGGCGGTTGGCATGTAATTGCCACATTGGCTGCTTACAGAAACACTTGGAGTCTCCTGGCCATTCACTTTGGCTTCA